CCCAAGTCAGGAAACTTAAATACCTCTTGGTCTGGGTAGACACATTCACTGGATGGGTAGAGGCCTTTCCCACAGGGTCTAAGAAGGCCACCAGAGTCATTTCTTCCCTTCTGTCAGACATAATTCCTCAGTTTGGCCTTCCCACCTCTATACAGTCCAATAATGGACAGGCCTTTACTAGTCAAATCACCCAAGCAGTTTCTCAGGCTCTTGGTATTCAGTGGAACCTTCAGACCCCTATCATTCTCAATCTTCAGGAAAGGTAAAATGGACCAATGGTCTTAAAAAACACACCTTACCAAGTTCAGCCACCAACTTAAAAAGGACTGAACAATACTTTTACCACTTGCCCTTCTCAGAATTCAGGCCTGTCCTCGGGATGCTACGGGGTACAGCCCATTTGAGCTTCTGTATAGATGCTCTGTTTTATTAGGGCCCAGTCTCATTCCAGACACCAGCCCAACTTGAACTGCACCCCAAAAACTTGTCATCCCTACTATGTTCTGTCTAGTCATACTCCTATTCACTGTTCTCTACTACTCATAAATGTCCTGCTCTTGTTTACACTGCCGGTTTACACTATTTCTCCAAGTCATCACAGCTAATATCTCCTCATGCTATCCCCAAACCACCACTCTTAACTCCCTTTTAGAGTGGATAGATGATCTTTGCTGACAGGGTACACTCCAATACTTTCACTCTGATGAAGTCCTATTCTTTACCTTTATATTCATTCTTATTCTTGTTCCTGTTCTTATGCCACCCTCTTCCTCCCCCCAGCTATGTCCACCACACTACCAATCTCACTTACTCTCTCCTAGCCATTTCTAATCCATCTTTAACAAATAATTGCTGGCTTTGCATTTCTCTTTCCTCCAAAATCTCTGAGGCCTCAACTTACTCACTACAAAAAAAAAAAAAGACTCTATATTTTTAAATGAAAAGTGTTGTTTTTACCTAAATCAATCTGGCCTGGTATATGACAACATAAAAAAACTCAAGGATAGAGCCTAAACTTGCCAACCAAGCAAGTAATTACACTGAACCCCCTTGGGTCCTCTCTAATTGGATGTCCTCCCAATTTAGTCCTTTAGTATCTGTTTTTCTCATTCTCTTATTCGGACCTTGTGTTTAGTTTCTCAATTCATCCAAAACCATATCCAGGCCATCACCAATCATTCTATACAACAAATGCTCCTTCTAACAACCCCACAATATCACCCCTTACCACAAAATCTTCCTTCAGCTTAATCTCTCCCACTCTAGATTCCCATGTCTCCCCTAATCCTGCTCAGGCCTCTGAATATCAGGCCTCTGAACCCAAGCTAAGCCATCATATCCCCTGTGACCTGCACGTACACATCCAGATGGCCTGAAGCAAGTGAAGAATCACAAAAGAAGTGAAAATGGCTGGTTCCTGCCTTAACTGATGACATTCCACCATTGTGATATGTTTCTTCCCCACCTTAACTGAGTGATTAACCTTGTGAAATTCCTTCTTCTGGCTCAGTAGCTCCCTGGCTGAGCACCTTTTGACCCCTGCCCGAAAGAGAACAACCCCCTTTGACTGTAATTTTCCACTACCCACCCAAATCCTATAAAATGGCCCCACCCCTATCTCCCTTCGCTGACTCTCTTTTCAGACTCAGCCCACCTGCACCCAGGTGATTAAAAAGCTTTATTGTTCACACAAAGCCCGTTTGGTGGTCTCTTCACATGGACGCGTGTGACATCCCTTTCATTGAATATCAATTTATCATAAGAATCAAATGCTATAAAAATCGTCATAGCCTTTCACCCAATATTACTTCTGGGCTCTTAACCTTAGGGGAATAGATCAAAAGAAAAACTATATGTATAAAAATATTCACTTTGGGAGGCCAAGGTGGGCAGATCACCTGAGGTCAGGAGTTCAAGACCAGCCTGACCAACATGGTGAAACCCCACCTCTACTAAAAATACAAAAATTATCTGGGAATGGTGGTGCACGCCTGTAATCTCAGTTACTCAGGAGGCTGAGTAGAACAAAACAGAAGAACAATTGAGTTAAGGCACTGCAACCCAGCAGGGCATGGTGGCTCATACCTGTAATACCAACACTTTGGGAGGCCGAGTTGGGAGGATGGCTTTAGCCTAGGAGTTCGAAACTAGCTTGGGCAACATAGTAATTCCCTGTCTCTACAAAAAAAAAAAAAAAAAAGTTTTAATTAACCAGACATGATGACATGCACATGTAGTTCTAGCTACTCAGGAGGCTGAAGGAGGAGGACTGCTTGAGCCCAGGAGTTCAAGGTTGCAGTGAGCTATGACTATGTCACTGCACTCTAGCCTGGGTAACAGAGTGAGACCCTACCTCAAAATAAAATATGACATACTTATTTTGGTGTTTTGTATGTATTAATTTTCATCCACCCATCCCTGGTTCATAATGCCCATAGCCTTTGTTACAGCCTACTGTTATAATATTGGGTGTTTTAGGCTTCGGGACCAGGACTAGTCTCAGGAAACTCTCTCTCTCCTGCTTTCCTTTCACCTGCCCTAAGGCAGGACTGTCCCCCCACCACCACTCCCCACCACCACCCCCACCCCACTCCCCTACCTTTCTGATTGTGGATCTTAAGACCCTCCCCTAAGAGGGCCCCACCTCATACCCTGGAGGAAAGGAATGCTTCCATAAAAATCCCAGAAGACTGGGTTGGGGAAGTTTCCCCCTAGCTGAACAGGTGGAGGTTCCTGGAGGGTGGTGAGTCCAACGAGGGCCTGGAAGCTCCACGCCCCTTCCTCCAGACCTTACTCTATGCATCTCTTCATCTGTATCCTTTGCAATATCCTTTATAATAGGCCACTAAACATGTTTCCCTGAGTTCTGTGAGCCACCCCAGCTAATTAACCAAACCTAAAGAGGTTTCGTGGGAACCCCAACTTGAAGACAGTTGGTCAGAAGTTCCAGAGGCCTGGACTTGCACCTGGTATCTGAGGGTATGGAAGGTAGTCTTGGGGACTATGCCCCCCAACCTGTGGGATCTGACACTGTCTCTGGGTAGGTAGCGTCAGAACTGAATTAGAGGACACCCAGCTGCTGTCTGCTGCTTGGTGCGTGAGGAAAGAATTCCCACACATTTGGTAACAGAAGTGTTTTTCTGTGTTGATTATTGTTGCAGTGCGAGAGAGGGAAAACACAGTTTGGACAGAGTTTTTCCTCACACACTTATTAATTTAAAATAATAAAAATAAAAAGACACTGCCATCCAGTGGAATCCTATACAGTCATTAGAAATTATGATAAGTTTACATAGCAACATGAAAAAATGTTTACAATAACATAATTTCTAAAATTTATCTAATATCTCTAGATCACAATTACTACTGGGTAAAATATGCATACCTATAACAAAAGCCAAGAGGAAATGGGGGAGAAGAGACAGCTGGTACATTAGGAACTATAGAATTGTGGATGATATTTCTTTCAAAATTTTTCTTCACTGGTTTGTTGTCCATTAAAAAAATTATGGTCTGGCATGGTGGTTCATACCTATAATCCTAGCACTCTGAGAGGCTAAGGCAGGAGGATGACTTGAGGCCAGTAGGTTGAGATCAGCCTGGCAACATAGCAAGATCCCATCTCTACAAAAAAAATAAGAAAAAATAAGAAACTGGATGGGTGTGGTGGCTCATGACTATAGTCCAACTACTCAGGAGGCTGAGATGGGAGGATTGCTTGAGCCCAGGAATTAGAGATTTTAGTGAGCTATGATCATGCCACTGCACTCCAGCCTAGGCAACAAAAGGAAACCCCATCTCTAAAAATAAAATAAAAACACATTATGGATTTGGTAAGACTAGTGGAAAAGGCAGAAACAATAAACAATAAATAGAATGAAAGGGTGGAATCTTTTAAAACACCTTTTAAACTATTAACAAAACCTTTCTTTTCTCTTCATCTTCACGTGTTAGTAGGACTTCACAGCAGTCCCATGCTTTTGCCTGGAAACACAGATCATCAGTCTATTTTTAAGGGATTCTTCTTAAGACCAAAACCTAGAACCACTAACCTGGGCCCCGATCTGCGCTCTCTCGCCCGCAGTGAATCACTGTGACCTCAAATGCCACAGCCTTCCCCCAGCTGTCCAGGCCTAGCTTGCCCTTCACAGATACAAAAGAATCAAATGGAAATAAAAGGCATCAGCACCCGGAGCTCCCTGCTGCCAGAAGTTGAGATTTCCCAGTCTACATCAAGCTATGATTAACAGGAGGCAATGCCAAATGCCAAAAACAACAAAGGAGCTTCAAGGAAACTGCACTAAAATACTCCCCCTAGTTTTAACGACATACATATTATTTTCTACTCACTCCACCCCATTCTCCTATGGTACTCCGAAACTATTCTGAAGCCACCAGGTTGCAGAAAGACACTAACAGCTACAGCTTAATGTTCAGAGGTTGATGGAGACCACGTAGTGGGCCAATACAGATCACTCTTGAGAAACAAAAAAGCTGTTTTTAGAACCAGAAGGAAATTAGATAATCCTAGCCCACATTACTTAATGGTTTTAAGACTGGAAATTCTGTGTGTGTGTGTGTGTGTGTGTGTGTGTGTGTGTGTGCGCGCGCGCGCGCTCATTTTGAGGGAGTAATAGTTGTGCAAATAAAGTAAAAGCAGCTACCAGCCTCTCTAAAGATCATCTACCAGACCTCCCCTAGTACAGCCTGGCCTGAGGCACAGTGGCAAGTGCTAGTTTTGGAAGGTTTAAGTTGAGCACCGTAATTCTCTTCTATCTTCAGGAAACTTCCTTCTTCAAAGAGCATTCCTGAGAATTGCCATACTATCATACTCAGTGATCACTCATCCATGTAGGAAGGATTCTCCAGAAAACCCACCCTAGTGCCTTGCCCTCCCCGCCCCAGCCAATTTGCAATCCCTTTTGGAACCACCATAATACTCAGGCAGTAGAGCTTTAATCATGTGTCTGTACTTTCGTTTCTTGCTCTAAGGGACCTACCTTCATAAAAGGCAATGCAATGTCTTCTGTCACAAGAGTTATTCCAGGAATTTCCTATAGTGGGGAAAAAAACACACACACCGCTGCTCAGTGTATGAGCTACCACTAGCTCAAGCTTTCAGGGAGTGTTTTCTGCACAGAAAGAAGCTAAGGGCAGCTTCCAGTTTTTAACCTCTACTTTAAATAAACCTTGGAGCACATAAATAACAGTGAATATAGCCTAGCCTATCTCTTGCCTCCAGAAGGAACGTATTCTTTAAAGTCACAATTATAATAGTTGACAGGGTCTCTAAATGAAAGGAAAAGACAATTACAAAGAAATAGAGAGCAAATAGGGTATTTTTATACATTTCTATTAAAGAACAAATGAGGCAAATTATGTTTGCACCAAATGTAATGATAAAGAGGAAATGTTTCATTATCAATACTCCTTCCTCTCTTCTTTCACTTAAATGTATTATAGTTGGCCCCTACCTCACTAGAAGGAACCAAGACTAACGGAATTCTTTTTTTTTTTTTTTTTTGAGAGGGTGTCTTTTCGTCGCCCAGGCTGGAGTGCAGTGGCGCGATCTCGGCTCACTGCAAGCTCCGCCTCCCGGGTTCACGCCATTCTCCTGCCTCAGCCTCCCGAGTAGCTGGGACTACAGGCGCCCGCCGCCTCGCCCGGCTAATTTTTTGCATTTTTAGTAGAGACGGAGTTTCACCGTGTTAGCCAGGATGGTCTCGATCTCCTGACCTCGGGATCCGCCCGCCTCGGCCTCCCAAAGTGCTGGGATTACAGGCGTGAGCCACCGCGCCCGGCGACTAACGGAATTCTTGCATGACTTGGCTGGATAATTGTTCTGTACCTCATTGTCCTCTGTAATTTCAGAGGTAAGAGCTCCCCATAAAAAAGTTTCTGCAGCAGCCAGGTGCAGTGGCTCGCACCTGTAATCCCAGAACTTTGGGAGGCCAAGGCTGGCAGATCACTTTAGATCAGGAGTTGGAGACCAGCCTGGCCAACATGGTGAAACCCCGTCTCTACTAAAAAACAAAAAAATTAGCCAGGCATGGTGGCGGGTGCCTGTATTTCCAGCAACTCAGGAGGCTGAGGCAGGAGAATCACTTGAGCCTGGGAGGTGGAGGTTGCAATGAGCTGAGATTGTGCCATTGCACTCCAGCCTGGATGACAGAGCAAGACTCTATCTCTAAAGAAAAAAAAAAAGTTTGTGCAGCGCTATCATCATGGCAAATCTGAAAAGTGAACAATTCATTTCAAGAAGGGCAAATGATAGCATTCTGCTAACTAGTGAGCGTTAAAACAGAAATTTAATGAAATGATAAACTTTCAAGATTGCCCTTTATTCACTATTACTTTGAAAAGTGTATCTGTATGTTAATTATGTAAGTAGCCTCTCATCTGGTCAAATCAGCTTCCATTTCCTTAAAAAAAGTAGGTAAGTATATAAGAAAATATTTTACGAGATGTAATGTAGAAATAAAAATTGATATTTGTCTAGAATTTAAATGACTGAGATTTTACTGATACAGAATATTCCTGTAAAAAAAGGGTATCACAGTGACAGAGAAATACATTTTCAGAACATGCAAACAACTAAGTTCTTCATTGTGACAGTTGAAAGCTGTGATAAGAATCTATTGTGAGCTTCATTTATCACTACAGAGGATACCTCAAAAAAAAACATTAAAATTTCATTACGGTTTTAGGTTATAAATGGCATTTTAAAAGAGGTATAGTTGTTTGCAAAACATAATTCAGGATTATCTATTTGTAAGGGCATCGTATTTTCTATTATCTTAAAAAATCCAAGTCAGTTGTCTCCTACAAAAGTGTGAAGTCCATGTTTTCTCCTGTGGCAGCTTTTTATTAAGGTTGTAGCATTAAGAACATTTGCAGATTAGAGAAAAATAAATGATTTACATCATAGCTAATGATAAGCATAGACTCATAGATTTTTCAAGATTAGAAGAGATCTTTAAGGTAACCTAGTCCAATCACAAGAAGTTTAAAGCAACATGGCAAACTCCAAGATTAGTTCAGTACAGGGAGGTTATAACCACAGGTTTCTTTATATCGCTCTTCTTGTGGGACTTACTGATGTCACCCTGTGCGTGTCCATAATAGCTGCTCCGCCCTGCACAATCTTGAGAAGTGCAAAAGGGAAGCGTTACCCTCAAGGTGATATTCTCACACCACATCCAGTTAACATGTGGCTCAGTCTTTTAACACAACCCTGGGAACCAGTGGTCCCAACTGCCTCCTGGACACTTTGAACACAGGACATAACAGTGGGGGGTTGGTAAGGGAGGGAGCGGAGATGTGCATTTCCTGACTCCAGGGTGGTGTAACCGGCAGACTTCCTGTCATATGACCACAGGGTCTGCATGTCTTCTATTCACATGTGTTCCGAAAGAAAAAAGTGGGCACCTAGAGCGGGAACAAGCTCAGGCCTTTCCCTTAAATTCTAAGGTGAGGCATCAAAATCTAATAACTATGACAGTAAAAGACAAAGAAAAGGCCTTTAGGAAAGTACTGCCACTGTGCATACCAAAACTTTGGAAAGTAATCAAACACACTTGATACATCTTTTTTAAGGACTATACTTAGACAGGGTCTAAACATAAAGTGTCACCATTTATCCTAGTACATCTTTTCCTATGACTGTGTTAAATTCGACTTATTTTTCTAAATACCTTTTTGATATAAACTTCTGCCTCAAAAGCAAGCATGTAGTTCTAATATCTAAATAAGAAACAAGAGGCAGAACTTTTTCAGGCACAGCCTATGCATGGTTTTCACTTGCTGGGCCAGCAAAGCTCTGTCTACTGTACCATATTCAAGAGAAAATGAGCAGTGTCTTAGCTCAACACGTCCTAATTTAAAAGGAGGGAGTCTGAACCGACAGGGAGAAAAAGTCAGTTGGGGTGAGTGTGCCTAAGATTGCTGACTTTTACTGATCCTGAAGCTCTAGAGTTATTACAGATTTTTTAATGGGGCGGGAAAAAGAGGTCATGAAGGTCCTATCTACCAAGTATAATAGCAGCAATGCACCCATTCCTCACTTACATAAACCTAGTACATACCGTAATCCACTCTAGTCACTTAGAAAATAAAAATACCATGACAGAGGTTTAGTTCTGCCTGGTAACAGGAAGAATAATAAATACCCTGTTTACCTGCTCCTTCGGTTTTACTGTTTTTATACAAATACTTTTGGCCAACAGCAGGGATTCGCTATTACTTTTCTGCCAAAAAAAAAAAAAAAAACCAACTCGGTTCTTTATCAGTCAAAACAGTAGTGAAATCACGACCCTGATGACTATAAGAGGGGTGTCCAACAACTGACCCACAAATGGGAATTGATTTTATTTGCACACAGCATACACAGTGTTAACTTACTGTATTCCAAGTGAGCACTGAGGAATGTGGCAATAGTTTGTCCATGTTACTTGTTTCTGAATATACACTCCAATATGAAGAAGCTGAGTAGATTTTTTTAAAATGGGGGAAGAAAGATGTGGTTTAATAAGATGATGACAGCATTGTAATTCAACCAAAACAAGCAAACCAACAAAGTTTTCATTGTCTTATCCCTCATCCTCAAAACGGTAACCATTATGATTTTATCTACTGACTAAAATTTTCAGGTTCTGCTTTTTACAATGAGAACAATAACTTAGTACTATATCTACCCAAATGACATTATGTCACTTCATACGAAACCAGCCAACAAAAAACTGGGCTAAGAAAGTTACATCTTACTGGAAAAAAAAATCACTAATAAGGTTATAGAATCAAGATCCTATCTTGTATCTCATCAATCTCTGTACAGCCATAGCTTCTTAGAAAACCACAAGAGAATGAAATTTAATTAGCTGCTGACTCCGATAGAGTTTTTTTCTTTTTTTTAATGTGCTCCTAAGTAGCATTTGGACAGGTTGAGGCATTCATTATCAACTTACTGCTTTCCCTCAAGCAAAAAGGTCAAGTATTCAACTTAAGGTGCAATATCAGCAACACTTACCAATTATAAATTCCTGAATGAGGTCAAATGAATGGCAGGCGGAGACATTCTCAGAAATCCATTGAATAATCTTTAAAAAGTCAAACAAAACTCTGTTGGTATTTAAATCTGCTCTCTGCCTCCACTACCAAAGAAGTACAAATATACATGAAGCTTTTGCATTCTATACCTATTTTAGAATTGCCTAAGAATATACTCACTTCTACACTATCTTCAAGATACATAATGCAATTCTGGGTAGGTAAAACAGCATATTATAAGTGAGATCCTTTTCATACATCTTTTAAATAAATCTCCTTGGCTGGGAACCAAATAAACGTTCTTCAACCTAACGTTTGCGCAAGAATAGGTCATGTTATAGCAAAGCACCAGTGGAAAGAGCTGTGGGATCCAGGAAAAAAAGCAAAACAAAACCACTAGGCTTGGAGGCAGCAGAGCTGGGTGTGAATTCCAGCTGGGTCCTCAGTGTGAATACGGACATACCAGTTAACCTTTGTGAGCATCACTGTACTGTCTTCCGAGGAGGGATAATTCTTGCTCTACCATCAACTCTCTCATCTCCATAATCATCCTCACCTGCTGGAGGAATGTTTGCCATCTCAGCACTGACAGATAATATAAGACACACCTAGCTATGGTGCACACTTGCACTTCTGCTCCTACCAGTAAGCTGTTTTATTCAAAACCTGTTTATGCTATTGTACTTATTTTCAAAATTAGGTAATACAATATTACTACAGACAAGTAAAATGTGGATGCAGAGAGTGTCATTGGGTCAGTAAAAGTTGAATGTTTTGGAAAGAGTCAAAGGCATGTCTCTAAAACACTAGAAAACTAGGTTCAGGGGAAACAACTAAAAAGATTGGGTAAAAAAATGCCTGGTATACACAGATTGCTTTGTAAGGGTCTTTAAATTACTATATCCTTAGACATAAATTTTTTTAAAAAGTAACAAGAAGTTAGAGGTAACTCATTACTAGTGCTTTTATGCAAGAAAAATGATGTTGCACTTCAATTAGCAGATGCACGAAGAAAGGCTTGAGTCAAAGCATAGGTGAATAATGTACATTTCAATGTTTTAGGTTAAAATAAAATGTCTAATGTCTCTTTTTTTTTTTTTTTGTAGTTAACCAGCCACTGATTGATCTTAACTACATCTGATAAGGAGATTTCTCTGACTTCACAGGATAGCTGTAAAATAACACAGAAAGTGTGTGGATAAACTTAATAAACTCTAATGTGAAATACAAATGTAAGCTATTTTTATTATAAATGTAATAAATATCTGCCACAGATTTTAGTCCTTTTGATAATTATAGATCAAATACAGACCAGGAAAAAAAGTAGATATTTAAGAATCGCATTATTTATGGAGCTCTTCATTGAAATGTTACTGACACAGCTAAACATTTATTCCCAATATGGAAAAGGGAGTACCCAAAAGAACAGAAACACCCTGAGTCTGAGACCTGGTAGGGATCCATAAAAAAGCAACACAAAAGACGATGATGTCAGCAGAAAGGCCATACACCTCAATTAATTGTAACTAAATAAAAATAACTCCTGACCATTTTCTTTCTTTTTTTTTTTTGAGACAGAGTTTCGTTCTTGTTGCCCAGGCTGGAGTGCAATGGCGCGATCTCGGCTCACTGCAACCTCCACCTCCCAGGTTCAAGCAATTCTCCTGCCTCAGCCTCCCAAAGTGCTGGGATTACAGGCATGAGCCACTGCGCCCGGTGACCATTTTCAACCACAAAATAAATAGGTTCAGTGTCGTCTATCTGTACATTTTAAAACATGAGCTATCTTCTCACCTGGCCTTCCAGGAACCGCGTGCCTTGACCGCAGTAGAGCGCACAGTGCAACGCGGCCATCTTCTCACAGTCTAAGCGGGTGTTCTGCAGAAGCCGTAATAAAGATGACTGGCTGAGCAGTGCTCTATAGAGCTTTCCAGAACAACAATCCAGTACCAGGGACCCTGACAATGACTGTAAAGGGCAATGAGGTAGCATATCAATCATTTCATTATTCCCTGGCCAAAAAAAAAAAAAAAGTAGATCAGCAAACAAAAGAACCTCCTTTCACCCAAACATAGATTATTAAAGTCAAAACAAACTCAAATAGGCCACCTCTACAAGAGAAAAACTATAACCGTACCTGTCAGAAAAAGACTGTGGCAGATCAGGTCTGGATGTTGAACATTAAGTAGGTGGAAGAAATGACCACGTAAGTAAACAGCCACATAATAGTCTATAGAAGAGAAAGATTTACATCATCTACATGTGGTAAGAGCTGCACAGGTACAGAACGTCACATTATCCCTGCCTTTCTCTGAATATTTCAAAAGGCAAAAGTTTTACCAATTTAATAAGCTATCTAATGACAGTCCTTTTTTTTTTTTTTTTTTTTTTTTGAGGCAGAGTCTCGCTGTGTCGCCCAGGCTGGAGTGCAGTGACCGGATCTCGGCTCATTGCAAGTTCCGCCTCCTGGGTTTATGCCATTCTCTGCCTCAGCCTCCCGAGTAGCTGGGACTATTTTTGTATTTTTTTTTTTAGAGACGGGGTTTCACCGTGTTAGCCAGGATGGTCTTGATCTCCTGACCTCGTGATCCGCCCGTCTCAGCCTCCCAAAGTGCTGGGATTACAGGCTTGAGCCACCGCGCCCGGCCTTTTTATTTTTTATTTTTTTTGAGACAGAGTCTCACTCTGTCACCCAGGCTGGAGTTGCGGTGGCGTGATGTCGGCCCACTGCAGCCTCAAACTCCTGGGCTCAAGTGATCCTCCCCACCTCAGCCTCCCAAGTAGCTGGGACTACAGGCCTGTGCCCCCAACACCCCACTAATATTTTCTATTTTTATAGAGATGGAGTCTCACCATATTGCCCAGGCTGGTCTTGATCCTGGGCTCAAGCAACCCTCCTGCTTCAGCCTCCCAGAGTGCTGGGATTACAGGCATGAGCTACCACGACCAGCCACATTTTTCTTACTAGATAAACCTCATTTATTTCTATCTTCAGCTAATTTTCTTCAGATATTTAGCCATGGTTATCTTAATTTATACCTGCAGTTTTGTTTCTAAGTGATTTGTGGCTTTATGTGAATCTAAATGATCTCAGAGCAAATTAGAATAAAAAATATCAAGCAACATGAATTATTCCTTAATCTGGTAGGCTGGAAATAGCTTATATTGGGAATTTTCTTCATAATTTCTGCCAGTTTGGGGAAGCTCTAAAATTCTGTTGCCCATGTTCGTCCACTGATCATCATTATCATCATCAGCAGCAGCAGGAGCATTTTGTTTAGAAAACCTTTAAATCAATATTCATCAGAACAATCTCTGCAGACACACTGACACTTTGTGAAGTACTAATTTATTTCCTTGCATATCAAGCTGACTAGAATTCACACCTTCGGTCCCTGCACTAGATATTTTTGTACCAAGAACATTTGTACTCAGATGGAGACAAGGTATAAAAAAATAGGTTTCTGGAGAATGGAAGGGTGGAAGTAGCCCTTGCCAATACTTTTTCTAGGATCTTAAAAAACAGAAATTCACACAGTAGTAATTTTATATAGATGGAACATTTAGATTATAAGTGAGCCAGCTAGACTCCTTTTCCTGAGAAGTGAAGGAACACATGCTAATCATTTGCATAGAAGGCGTTCTGTGGAAAGGAAAGAGGATATAGAACTCAAACCAGTTGACTTAGAAGTGTCCTTTCAGTCAACGTGGATTAAATGATGCTAAAGCGCCTAGCACGAATGGTGGCAATCATCTTATTATGGCAACACTTTACTAACAAAAACACAAACAAGAATATAGTGGGACATAATGAAAAGGTATCGGCATCAAATGACCTAGTTACCTCCCAGCTGTACCACTTAACTAGTTAATTAGGATGGCACTATATCCGTGGGGAGGTGGCATTTGAAAATATATGACCCTGATTTGGGTTGCCACATCACTGAGGCAGGGAGAGGGAGATTCCTATTTGGCATTTGGTGAGTGGGCTCCAGTGATGGATGTTCAGTCCCTCAATGAGCAGGGAATTATTGTCTCACCAAAAGGGTCAGTAGTATCTGTGGTAGGCTGAATGATGGCTCCTGAAGATATGCACGTGCTAATCCCCAGAACCTGTGAATAGGGTAAAAGAGACCTTGCAGATGTGACTAGGATCTCGGGATGGGGAGACTATCCTGGAATATCCAGGTAGACACAGGTAGGCACAAAAATCCTTATGAGATGGAGATTTGACTAGAGAAGAGAAGACGACCATACGATGAGGAAAGTAGTTGGAATGAAGTGGCGGCCACAAGCCAAGAAATACTAGCCTCTAGTCACGGATGTCCAATCTTTTGACTTCCCTGGGCCACACTAGGGAGAAGAACTGCCTTGGGTCACACATAAAATACACTAATGACAACTGATAAGCTAAAAAAATTTAAAAATTAAAATCTCAAAAAAAAATGTTTTAAGAAAGTTTACAGATCTGTGTTGGGCCACATTCAAGCCATACTGGGTTATGTGCAGCCCATGGACCAAGGGTTGGACAGGCTTGCACTAGAGGCTGGAGGGAGGACGCAAGGAACAAATTCTTCCCTGGAGCCTCCAGAAGGCACCAGTCCTGCCCACACTTTGGTTTAGCCCCTTCAAGACTCATTTCGAACTTCCAACTTTACAGAACTTTAAGAGAACGTCTGTGGTGTCTGAAACTCTCAAGCCTGTAATCCCAGCACTTTGGGAGGCCGAGACGGGCGAATCACGAGGTCAGGAGATCGAGACCATCCTGGCTAACACGGTGAAACCCCGTCTCTACTAAAAATACAAAAAAAATAAGCCGGACAAGGTGGCGGGCGCCTGTAGTCCCAGCTGCTCAGGAGGCTGAGGCAGGAGAATTGCGCGAACCCAGGAGGTGGAGCTTGCAGTGAGCGGAGATCCGGCCACTGCACTCCAGCCTGGGCGACAGAGCGAGACTCCGTCTCAAAAAAAAATAAAATAAAAAATAAAAAATAAAAAATTTGTTACAGCAACAATAAACGAATACAGGATATGCTAACTAGCCTGATTTGATCATTCCACAATGTATACAGGTATCAAAACACCACATTGTACTCCATAAATATATACAATTACTATTTGTCAGTTAAAAACAAAATAAGGTAGGGTATTATTTTTATTGGCTGGGCACGGTGGCTCATGCCTGTAATCCCAGCACTTTGGGAGGCTGAGGCAGGTGGATTACTTGAGGTCAGGAGTTCAAGACCAGCCTGGATAGCATGGCAAAACCCCATCTCTAGGAAAAATACAAAAAATTAGCTGGGCATGGCGGCATGTGCCTGTAATCCCAGCTACTCAGGAGGCTGAGGTGGGAGGATAGTTTGAGGCCAGAAGCCAGAGGTTGAAGTGAGCCAAGATCATACCACTGTACTCCAGCCTGGGAAACACAGCAAGATCCTGTCTCAAACAAACAAACAAAAAGTTTGCTAGGAAGATTTGATGAAAGAACTCTATATCAATTTATTATATTTTATTTGCTGACTTTTCTAATAAAGATCTTATATGGAGAAGAAAAGGTACCATACATAAGCAGAAGCTATATGTACACTCATACGCCACATGTAAAATGGACACTTTAATTCTTATAATTTCAAGAAAATAATTTAATCACCTATATTTAGTTAAAACTTTAATGTTTGAAAACATTTAGACTAAAGTTTTACATTTTTAAAAATATATTAAAAATGCTATAAGATAAAAATCAAATTCTATGAATAAATATGTTTAAATTAAGTACTCTAGGATTGTAACACTGACAACACTAATTATCTTTTCTAGTTTGGGCAGTTATGTTGCATACCATGTGGGTGACTGATGGGATCATTTCACTTCATTTTCTCTCAGTTTATTCTGGATTGCATTAGAGAAAAATACTAAAACAACACCTCTAAACAAAATACTTGATAAAGTTTTAGTTGAAATAAAATGCTAAGAAAACAAAATAACAAAATGTTTAAAGAAACTATTAATAGGCCAGGCGCACTGGCTCACACCTGTAATCCCAGCACTTTGGGAGGCCGAGGCTGGTGGATTACGAGGTCAGGAGTTCAAGACCAGCCTGGCCAAGATGGTGAAACCCTGTCTCTACTAAAAATACAAAATAATTAGCCAGGCATGGTGGCGCACACCTGTAATCCCAGCTACTTGGGAAGCTGAGGCAGAGAATTGCTTGAACCCGGGAGGCAGAGGTTGCAGTGAGCCGAAATCGCGCCACTGCACCCCACCCTGGGCGACAGAACAGGACTCCATCTCAAAAAAAAAAAACTAAGAATAATCTAGGGTCCCTGATAAAAGACACTGAAGTAAGCCTGAGCACAGAGCTCACTCCTTCTGAGCCTCAGTTTCGTTATCTGTAAAATGGGGATAATATCACCAATCAGAATTGCTGTAGGGAACAAGATAACAACTAAAATACTTAACATATAGTACTCATTAAATAAATAGTAGCTCCTTACTTATAAATATATCTTTCTTATATAGAAGTGTTTGGGGTTCATGGAAAATTTCAAAAAGTTATTCTTTAATATTTTCATCAATATTAGCCCATTTTAATAAGGTGACAGTCCAGGGAAATTGCATGTAGTTAGTAGCTAAAAATATATTACTCAAAAAAACAATATTGTTGTCATAAAAATTACCTGTAGAGCAGTTTTAAACTGGGCTATGATTTTGTGCCTATAAAACGTGCTTAAGAAGGAAAGACAACATGTGAAAAACAGCCTATTTTTACAAGCTTGTATTTCTGGCCTCTCCACATGCTGAAGACCACAGATTAAATCTTGCCTGCCCTTTGCAAGTCATTCCCAGGGGTGAAAAAAGGAAGGATACCTTTGCCCTCCCAAAGTGCTGTTTTCTTAGTGGAAAGTTTCCCACATCACTCTTGAGATGGGATGCTGATAAAGCATTGCTGATAAGAATCAAGTCCCAGACCCAGGAAACCTTCTATAATATTTATCTCTCTCATCACAGGAAGCAGTAGAACCAGGCTTCCCTAAGGCAATTTCCCACAAATTCAGAGATCATGTTTAAAATTTGCCCATACTAGCCCACTCAGCGTAAGTATCCAACCTCATCAATAGTAGCATTCAAAATAAAAATCACTTTGCTCAGTTTCCTCACATTGCACTCTCCCAAACATGCGTCATGACAGTAGACAGACTGTGGAATAGGGATGGAAAAAGATATCAAAGAATTACATGCTCTAAACCTGAAGCTCCTTTTTTAAAGGAAATGTTCCATATGCCATGTTCCATATGCAAACAAGTAAAGCATTACTTAGTCTTGTGCTAAACTTTGTGCCCCACATCCCAACTGGCATGGAAAAGCAGCTTTCAGGCGGGAGGTACAACAAACCCTTTCTTTATTTTCTTCATTATACTCAGGTTCCCTTCACCATATTTACTCAGTGAAAACAACTCAAGCTGATCCATAAATCATTAATGGGACTTGGAAGCTTTTCAAGATTAGCAACAGGAAATAGACAATTTCCCAGGGGCCCCTGTCCTCTCTATAATCAAGGGATAATATGATGCATTATTTCTCATGGGCTATTTGGGAACATCTCATACAAGTCATCATTTTTATGCTAACAAATGGCTTTTTAGGCTGCTACCAAAAAACATAAGAAAGCTCACAGCCTAGGTTCTCTAAAAAGGGAAGATACATCCCCCAACCCTTTCAAGCCAAAGGCTAAGGAGTTGAGAGGGAGGGGTGCGTTCCAGAGAAAATCTTCTCTTGTCAGACTTCAAGTGGGTCATTGACTGTCATCACAATCCAAGTCTCAAAGAGGCATGAGAAATGGGATAGTATAGAAGGCTGAGGTATACCATGCCCAGGAAGAAGTGTTCAGAGCAGGGGGTGTGATCTCTCCATCACTCACCAAGGTTGAGAAAAGTAATGCCCTTTGTCACGTGTGAGCCAACATTCTCAAGAGAAGTGGTGAAGGTCTTGCTGTGTCCTGCAAAGAGAGAACAAGAAGCCAGAGAATGTTAAACAAAGAACTGGAACTCCACCCAAGGCAGTGACTATGTAACACACTAAATTTTCAGTGACCTGAAACTGGTAAGTGGGCATCTTCAGACTTCTAGATTTCATGGTTCTCCTCATTCTCCAAAACCCAGCACTGAAGGCGGATAATCTGAGGGCAGTCACACTCCAGTAGTTGTTCTAGGCTTATTATAATCTTAGATCATGACAGGTGGATTGTTCAGGGAGGGGAGGATCTGAAGGAATTTACTTAAAGATCCAAGAGATAGAGATGACCACATGGCTCATTGGCCCTCATTCCTCAAGGCTCACTGCCACACACATGCAGTCATTAAGACCCTCTGAGACTTCTCCAAATCACTTACAAATCCCACTTTTAGGTAGGAAGGGAATTAATCGAGCTAACAACTTCAGTATATTGGCCTTTCCTCTCTACTTTCTAACTCTTAATCTTCAGAAATGTTTTATTTACTGGCTTTGATCAATAGATTAACGATTAGAAAAATGCATGAAAATTTTCCACAAAAATCTCAAACTTATACGATTTAAGTATGAATAGTATATATGTCTAGTTCTGAAGTTACTTTAGTTTCTCCATTAAGTTCTTAAACTTTTTTACCTTGATCTCTAACCTAAGGAGGTAATATTAGGTCCATCTATAGAATAAGCAGCTCTGGTGTGGCTTGGCATAATTTTTTTAAATATTGGAAAAATTTTCATCTTTAAAAAACTTTAAATACACCCATACTATCTACTGCACAAATACTCATTTTAAGGAACTAAACAAGCAAAACAATTACTCCTTAGTTCAAACTAAAAACTATTACAGGGCACACTGTGATCAACTACAGAACCAGGAGAAAACAGGCATTTGACTGCTGCTCCCTAGACTGTTTATCAATATCTTGGGCCATAGATGTGTGCAATGGAATAAATGTATCTTAGATCTAAAACCTGTTGAGGTCTGAGATCATGGATGCTTTTAACTAAAACCCTATGTAACTCTGTAAGTTAAATCTATAGATACTTTCCAATTAGCAATAGCTAAAAAGCAAATAAACACACTTTGGGTAAATACCTCCCTCAGGATTGGTCCACAAGCTTAGAAAAATATATAGGCCAGGATAAAAATATACAATATATAAAAATAACTAGCTAACTTGATATTCACCATTGGCAACTTTCTTCAGGAAATATATATCCTGTAAGTATACAGATATAGAATGAACTAATAAAAATTGATTCAATGGTAATCTCAGCCGGGCATGGTAGCTCACACCTATAATTCCCACACTTTGGGAAGCGAGGCGGGTGGATCGCTTGAGCTCAGAAGTTCAAGACTACCCTGGGCAACATGGTGAAACCCTATCTCTACAAAAAATACACAAATTAGCTAGGCATGATGGAACACGCCTGTAGTCCCAGCTACTTGGTGGGCTGAGGAGGAAGGATCACCTGAGACCATGAGGTTGAAGCTGCAGTGAGCAGTATTCATGCCACCGCATGTGACAAAGGGAGACCCTGTCTCCAAAAAATTACTAATAACACTGTTAAGAGCTATCTAATTTGCTACTATTTGGAAAAAGTTATCATGTAAAAGTAACAAAGAAGACATGAAAAGTACCTTTATGAATGTAAAACACTGAATATGTGATTTGTTCCCAAGAGGCACACTTCGGGCTGTAACATACACACAAACTTCCTAGAAGAAAGTATAGTAGAGTTTAATCTATGTCATAAATAAAGTTTCCTAAATCACTTAAACTTACTTCTATTCCTTTAGATGTCCTGCCTCATCTTACCTCACAGATTATTCCCAAGTCCTAGAAGTGGTCTATTAACAAGTTGCTAAGAAATTTCAAAGCAGTAATTTTTTAGCGCACACTATAAGCAATGTACTGTGGCAGGCTATTGAAGGATAGGAAAATGAACACAGATATACTCCTGCATATGAAATCATGGGGTTCTAGACAGTTTCCAAAGCCTCATGAGATTCTCCTAATATGCATGCATTGTCCTTCCTTATCTAGTTTGTCACCTTCTAATTATTACTAACAGCTATGAACACCAGTTTATCAAAAACTGTGTTCATTTCACAGAAAGTTTCCAGTCTCTCGTTTATCTTGATTGAAAGGAAAAGTGTGATCTATCTTATGCGTCAGTGAAAACAAATGTGGCATATGAGTCCATATCCATCCATAATTGAGTCACTGAAGGCATTGGCCCAAGGCCAAAGGAGAGCTCTTAGTATAGAACGGCCTTTCCAGGTAAGTCTTGACCCCCTTCACTTACCCCATCACTCCAGAACACCCTCAGCTTTCCCCACCTCTCTTAGTGTGTGAAACTGTACATTATCTCTAGCAGCTGCTGCTGTATGGACTAATGTCCATCAGTGACCTACATACAAATGAGGACAATATGCTTAAACACATATGTCTATTCTAATGCATTTATTTGATTAACTGAAATAGGAGATTGACAGGTAGAAAGTAACTCGAAAAGGAGTCAGGAAACCTGAGTTCTAGTCCCAGAGCTAATGTTAACTAGCTGTGTGAACTCAATCGCTACTCTACTTCAGTGGATTTCAGTATTTCCTCTACTTTACTCCATTAGTTTCTTTATCAAAGAATCATGGTAGAAAAAAAGTCAATTTCCTCTAAGAGGGCTATTTAAGGACGTTTATAAGCATTCTGTTATAATATTTGTCAATTGTGACTTTTTAATGACATTTAACACTGCAAAGTATTGTCAGTAGTACATTTTATTGCAATTATCTTAAACACAAAATAGCAAAAAAGAATTACTTCATCAGATAACATGGTAACAATTCTATTAGATGTAAAATGACTGTTACGCTTACTGAGCACACAATAACAACTTTTCTTTACAATTACAGCCAACTCACTGAGAATAAAAGTAATCTATCACTAAAGTATAAACAAAATAATAATTATGAGAGTTACAAAAGTCTCATATACCACTTGGACTGCTTTCATACAGTAAACATTATCAGCAAAAAACTACTGGTTTATCCATTGTTTTATATACTATAATCACAAGGAACATGAAATTGCTTTTAAAAAGACAGACTATAGACTCTCTAGTAATAAATAAAAATTAAAACAAGGCACCATAATTTTCCTTTAGAAGTAGTTTTTTTGTTGTTGTTGTTGTTTTAGTAACAGGCTTAATTCACTTTATTTTTCTTGTATAAAAACCCTATGTTGTAGCCACAGCTGGAGCCTGGGTCCGCTGCACAGAGACTCTGGTGTGGGTCTTGACAAGGTGGTCAGTGAATTCCTGATAGGGAGACTTGGTAAACACAGTCTGCTTCCAGAGGTCAGGGGTCAGGTAGCTGTAGGTCTTAGAGATGGCATCAAAGGTGGCCTTGGCGAAGTTGCCCAGGGTTGGCAGTGCAGCCCCGGGCTGAGGTGTAGCAGTCATCAATACCAGCCATCATGAGCAGCTTCTTGGGCACAGGCGCTGAGACGATGCCAGTGCCCCTGGGTGCAGGGATGAGGCGCACCAGCACAGAGCCCAGCAGCCTGTCACCTTGCACAGGACGGTGTGGGGCTTGCTGATCTTGTTCCCCCAGTAGCCTCTGCGCACCGGGACAATGGAGAGTTTGGCCAGGATGATGGCCCCACGGATGGCAGTGGCCACCTCCTTGGAGCACTTAACACCCAGGCCGACGTGGCCATTGTAGTCCCCAATAGCAACAAACGCCTTGAACCTGGTGCGCTGGCCAGCACGGGTCTGCTTCTGCACCGGCATAATCTTCAAAACCTCGTCTTTGAGAGAGGCCCCCAAGAAAAAGTCAATGATCTCAGATTCCTTAATGGGCAGGGAGAAGAGGTAGATCTCCTCCAGGGACTTGGTCTTCATGTCCTTGACCAAGCGGCCCAGCTTGGTGACGAGCATCCACTCCTTATCCTCGGCCTTGCCTCCGCGAGCTCCGCGGCCTCGGCCCCGGCCCCGTCCACGGCCGCGACCCCGGCCCCGATGCCACTGCCGAAACCTCCGCAGAAGCCACCGCGGTTCCCCATCCCAGGGCCACCAGGGCCTCCGGGCCCCCCCGCTGCACCGGCGTCATCCGCCATTTGGTGTTCTCTCGGAGAAGCAGAAGTAGTTTTTTAAATGATAATGAATACTGTCAAGGGAGTATGTGCTTCTTACACAATTCTCAAATAGTAGTGAATGAGTGAACTAATACAATATCTCAGAAAAATTGTTTCACAGAGGGTTAAATATATTCATACCTTGCATTCACCTAGTAGTTCTTTTAGGATTCTATCCTGGGAAATGAACATGACAACATAGATCATAACCTCCACTCTAAGAAATTATCTGCACTCCATCCTTTAGAGAATGAAAGTTGTTTTTTCTCATTTGGAAAAAAAAGTGAGACGTAGAATAAATGTACCTAATTACATATTCTAAGAACCATATCCAGAACTTACAAGCAAATATTTCCAAATTGTTAGGCCATGCTTACTTGCCCCACCCAATCCCAAAGGGAAAAACAGACACAGCAAGGTGAAATGGTATGTACTCAGGCTCTGTGAAGCTATCCAACAGAACTTTCTTTGACAATGGAAACGTTATATACCCGTATAGTCCAATATGGTGGCAACTAGCCACATGTAGTCATTGAACACTCAAAATGTGGATAGTACAACTGATGCACTATTTATTTGAGATGAAGTCTCACTCTGTTGCCCCGACTAGAGTGCAGTGACACAAACATGGCTCACTGCAGCACTGACCTCCCGGGCTCAAGCAATCCTCCCACCTCAGCCTTCCAAATAGCTGGGACTACAGGCGTGTGTCACCATGCCTGGCTAATTTTTTTTAAGAGATGGAGTCTAGGTTGCCCAGGGTGGTCTTGAACTCCCAGGCTCATGTGATCTTCCTACTTTGGCCTCCCAAAGAGCTGGGATTACAGGATTTTTTTTTAAATTCTATTTTAGATTCAGGGGTACATGTGAAGGTTTGTTATACAGATAAACTCCTATCATAGGGGTTTATTTTTACAGATAATTTCATTACCCAGCTATTAAGCCTGGCACTCAATAGTTATTTTTTCTGCTCCGCTCCCTCCTCCCACCCTCCACCTTCAAGAAGACGCTAGTGTCTGTTGTTCCCGTGTTCATGAGTTCTCATCATTTAGCTCCTACCTGTAAGTAAGAACATGAGGTATTTCATTTTACCGTTCCTGCATTAGTTTGCTAAGGATAACAGCCTCCATCCATCTCTATCCACGTCCCCACAAAAGACATGATCTCATTCTTTTTTATAGCTGCACAGTAATCCATGGTATATATGCACCACATATTCTTTATCCAATCTGTCATTGATGGGCATTTAGGTTGATTCCATATCTTTGCCATTGTGAAAAACACTGCAGTTAACATTTGCATACATATGTCTTTATGGTAGAATGATTTTTATTCCTCTAGGCATATACCCAGTAGTCAGATTGCTGGGTCCAATGGTAGTTCTGCTGTTAACCTTTGAGGAATCGCCATACTGCTTTCCACAATGGCAGAACTAATTCACACTCTCATCAACAGTGTATAAGTCTTCCCTTTTCTCTGCAACCTTGCCAGCATCTGTTTTTTGTTTATTTGTTTTACTTTTTAATAGCCATTCTGACTGGTATGAGATGGTATCTCATTGTAATATGTATTTGCATTTCTCTAATCCTCAGTAATATTTTTTCATATGCTTGCTGGCCACCTGTCTTCTTTTGTAAAGTATCTGTTCATGTCCTTTGCCCACGTTTTAATGGAGTTGTTTTTGTCTTATAAATTTAAGTACCTTGTAGATGCTGGATACTAGGCCTTTGTCAGATGCATAGTTTGCAAATATTTTCTCCCAATTCTGTAGGTCGTTTGGTTTACTCCATCAGTTTCTTTTGCTGTGCAGAAGCTCTTAAGTTTAATTAGATCCCATTTGTCAATTTTTGCTTCTTCTGTGATTGCTTTTGATGTCTTTGTTATGAAATATTTGCCCATTCCTATGTCTAGGATGGTATTGCGTAGGTTTTCTTTCAGGATTTTTATGAACTTGGGGTTTTACATTTAAGTCTTTAATCGATCTTGATTTGATATTTGTATATGTTGTAAGGAAGGGTTCCAGTTTCAATTTTCTATATATGGCTAGCCAGTTATCCCACCACCATTTATCGAGTAGGGAGTCTTTTCCCCATTGCTTTTGTCAGCTTTGTTGAAGATCAGGTAGTCATAGGTGTGCAGCCTTATTTCTGGTTTCGATATTCTGTTCTATTGGTCTATATGCCTGTTTTGGTACCAGTACCAAACTGTTTTGGTTACTGTAGCCCTGTAGTATAGTTTGCAGTTGGGTAATGTGATACCTCCAGCTTTGTTCTTTTTGCTTAAGTGTGCCTTGGCTATTCAGGCTTTTTTGGTTCCATGTGAATCTTAAGATAGTTTTTTCTAGTTCTGTGAAGAATGTTGTTGGTAGTTTGATAGGAATAGCATTGAATCTGTACATTGCTTTGGGCAGTATGGCCATTTTAATGATATTGATTCTTCCTATCCATGAGCATGTTTTTCTATTTGTAACTTCTGATTTCTTTGAGCAGTATTTTGTAATTCTCATTGTAGACCTCTTTAACTTCCCCTCCCCGGTTAGCTGTATTCCTAGGTATTTTATTCTTTCTGTGGCAATTGTGAATGGGATTGCCTTTCTGATTTGGCTCTTGACCTCACTCTTGTTGGTGTAAAGAAATGCTACAGATTTCTGTACATTGATTTTGTATCCTGAAAGTTTGTTGATGTTGTTCATCAGTTGAAGGAGCTTTTGGGCTGAGACTATGGGGTTTTCTGTAGCATCATGCCATCTGCAAACAGGGATAGCCTGACTTCCTCTCTTCCTATTTAGGATGCTCACTTGCCTGATTGCTCTGGCTAGGACTCCCAATACTATGTTGGATAGGAGTGGTGAGAGGGGGCATCCTTGTCTTGTGCCAGTTTTCAAGGGAAATGCTACCAGTTTTGGCCCATTCAGTATGATGCTGGCTATGGGTTTGTCGTAGATGGCTATTATTTTGAGGTTTTCCTTCAATACCTAGTTTACTGAGAGTTTTTAACATGAAGGGGTATTGTGTTTTATCAATAGCCTTTTCTGCATCTATTGAGATAAACATGTGGTTTTTGTCTTTAATTCTGTTTACGTGATGAATCACATTTATTGAATTGCATATGTTGAACCAACTTTGTCTCCCAGGGATGAAATCTACTTGATTGTGGTAGATTAACTTTTTGACATGTTATTGGATTCAGTTTCCATGTATTTTGTTGATTTTTGCATCAGCACTCATCAAGGATATTGGCCTGAAGTTTTCTTTTGTTCTTATGTCTCTGACAGGTTTTTGGTATCAGGATGATGCTGGCCTCATAGAATGAACTGGGGAAGAGTCCATCTTCCTCAATTTTTTGAAAGGGTTTCAGTAGGAATGGTACCAGCTTTTCTTTGTACATCTGGTAGAATTCAGTTGTGAATCCATCAGGTCCTGAGCTTTTTTCGGTTGGTAGGCTATGTATTACTGATTCAATTTGGGAGCTTACTATTGGTCTGCTCAGGGAATCAATTTCTTCCTGGTTCAGACTTGGGAGGCTGTATGTGTCCAGGAATTTATCTGTCTCTTCTAGGTTTTCTAGTTTGTGTGTATAGAGGTATTCTTAGTAGTTTCTGATTATTTTTATTTCTGAGGGGTCAGTGGTAACATCCTATTCGTCATTTCTAATTGTGTTTATTTGGATCTTCTCTCTTGTCTTCTTAGTCTAGCATGGGTTCCTGGAGTTGTACATTTACTCACCACTTCCCTGAGTGGCAGAGGTTCCCCTGGCCCTGTGTCACTCCTAGGTGGGCTGTCATCCTGCCTTGCTTTTCGCCATTCTCCATGGGTCAAGTTGTTTCCTTGATTAGTCCCAATGTGAACATCTGGATGATTCAGTTGAAGGTCCTGCATTTACTCCCCCCTTTTGTTCTTCCCTGTGACAGTGGCTCACATTAGCTGCTTCTAGTCAGTCCAGGATTTTTTTCTTTAATTTTAATTAATGTAAATTTAAATAGCCGTATGTGGCTAGTGGCTGCCATACTGGACAACACAGCTCTAGAGCACTGGTTCTTAACCCTGACAGCACATTAAACTTACTCGGGATCACAGATGCCCAGGTTCCATCTCAGAAGAATTAAGTCAGAATCTCTGGGGGTGTGAGACTCAGGTATTTGTATTTTTTAATGCTCACTAAATGATTTTAATGTGAACCCAGGTTGAGAACCACTTTTGAAATCAGCAGATTTGGATGTGAATCCTGCTTTTGGTTTACTAAGTCTATTGCCTCAGGCAAGTTAATTAAATTATCTAAGCCTCAGTTTCCTCATCTGTAAATAAAGAAAATATAGAACTTATTTCACAGGGTTCTTGTGAGATAATTAAATAAGATATTGTGTATAAAGAGATTGTTATTGTTAGATTGTTAGTTGCAAAGAAGTTATATCTGGCTATAAAGGTTAGCTGGTATTATTATTCCATAACAGTCTTGCTGCTATTTACAAGCTGGAGGAAGTCACAGTTTGAAAAAAATAAAGCATGCTCTTAAGGGTGTATCCAAAGATTTTTAATGAAATTCATCAATGATGAAGATAACATCTCAACGTTGGCTAGCCTTGGGGAAATCATTTGGACAATGAAAACTATCGTGGACAAAGTTTTCCAAGGGAAATTATCTCATTGGAGCAATTATTAAAAGGCTCTATAAAATGCTAAAACATAGGCCTAATATGGGAACTTGTGAAGAGCAACTCTTGCAGTTATATGAATAGGAAGGAGAATTTACACACTTCCCTACTCACTACCCTCCCAATACGTGGTGCACGAGAAAGAATTATAGCCACTGACTTACAACACACAAGAGCACTACAGCTTCAGAGCTGACTATTAGACAGGGAAATAGTAAGATATGCTTTCAAGGCTTAGAAAGTCTGATTTATCCTTTTTATTCAAAAAATCTATATAAACTCATGTTAAATAATACACAAGTGGCCTGACAGCAGCAGTGGCAGCAGCACTTTTGCCCACCACCAATCTCATGGGCACGCCCATCACCCAGATCGTAACCTGTAGTTCCTTGGAAGACAGCCGTCTTTATTTCTTAGTGCTGGGAAATTCAGGACAAATGTTTTCAAGAATATAAAAAGTAATGCTGAAAGGACAAAATAGCTTCTGATGACCAAAATGTGACAGCAAAATGTCAAATATTATTATATCATCATCATTAATGTAAATAGTTGAAATAAGTTTGTATAAGGGCCTAAGTTTATCAGCATTCCTTTCCTGAACCACAGTTTCTGGCCTCCATGGCACTGGAGAATTCAGCTTTCTACTATAGAGGGAGTCACATGTAGCTTAGACTCTTTGCTTCCTTCTCCAATACTATTTTGCTGGAATAGATTTTGTTTAACAACAAAGGTTTAAAAAAAAAACCAAAAAAACAAACAAAAAAAAAACACTTTTGAAGAGTAATATGGGAAACACATGAACAATTTATTAGTCAAAAAACAAAAGGTTGCTTCTCTGGCTTGTTTCATCTTAAATCTGGAAGCATCTCATTTGAAACAGGCTTTTTTCTTTTATTTTTTCAAAGCTGATTGTGAAGAGTGAAGTTTGTTTTCTACCCTTCCACACACTGCTGAGAAGGGGAAAAAACAGACTCTTCCACATTTTATGTCAGATAAACCTAACATTTTATTAAATACGTCATAATTAGCCCCATTTATAACTTACAGCTGGTAATGGTCATGAGAAATGCCTATGGAAATATAAAAGGGAATAAAAAGCCACACAGGAGTAAAGCCTAAAATGATCGTTCATAACCAACAGATTTAAAGTAAAGTACCAGGGGCCGGGCGTGGTGGCTCACGCCTGTAATCCCAGCACTTTGGGAGGCTGCGGTGGGCGGATCATCTGAGGTCAGGAGTTCGAGACCAACGTGGCCAACATGGCGAAACCCTGTCTCCACTAAAAAAATAAAAAAAATTAGCCCGTCATGGTGGTGTGTGCCTGTAATCCCAGCTACTCAGAAGGCTGAGGCAAGAGAATCACTTGAACCCAGGAGGCGGAGGTTGCAGTGAGCTGAGATTGCTCCATTGCACTCCAGCCTGGGCAACAGAGCAGAACAAGACTCCGCCTCATTCATAAATAAATAAAGCAAAGTACCAGGGAAGAACCCACCCTGATCCCTCCATGTGAGCTCTGGATCCCATTCCACCTTCTAAGCAAGTTCATTGTACTAGTTATTCCTCTCTGCTATGTATTGTCCTGTTTCCTCTCCACTCAATATATGCTGTAAGCATTCAAACATCCTAGAGTCTCTACTGTCTTAAAATATTCCCTAAATCCTATTTCCCTGTCCAGCTGCTGCCTCTCTCATGTCTACACATACTGCTATGACTTTTTTCAATTCTCATATGCCACTTAACCCAGCATAGTCAAGATTTCACCTCAATTCCACAACACAAACAGCTCACAGTAATCTTCATGCTACTAGACACAGTGGACTCCACCTCTCACTACCTATTCAGTCACTTCTTTGTGAAACTACCCTGTGCCTTCAGCTACTACAATACCACACTTGTTTTGGTTTTTCCTTTCTCTCTCTCCATTCTTTTTTCCTTTTCCTTTGGATGTTCCACCTAACCTTTATATATTTATGTTCCCAGATCTTATTCATAAGTGTCTTCCCTCCTGACCAAATACTCCCCCCATGGCTTCAAATGCCAGCTATATTCTAACAGTTTCCACATTTATTCATTGCCAGTCCTGACCCCTCTTCTAAGCTCCAGATCTTTTAGTCAACATGTCCAAAACGAAACTCACAATCTTCCTAAGCTCCATCAAAACCCCTATACCTCAGTAAACTACACTACTGTTCACTCATTTGCCGACGCCAGAAACCTGAGAACCATTCCTCTTCCGTGTAATTTATAGCAAATTATCTTAATTTCATCTCTAAAATGCATCCCAATCCCATCTAGTTCTTTTCACCTGTACTGCCCATCCTAGTTCACCCTTATTTCAAATGTAGGACTAGACTTAACTGCTTATCTTCCCACTTTTTCTCTTGCCTCCTTCAACCCATCCTCCATCTTTTGTCATTTTTTTTTTTTTTTTTTTTGACGGAGTCTCACTCTATTGCCCATGCTGGAGTGCAGTGGTATGACCTCAGCTTACTGCAACCTCTGCCTCTTGGGTTCAAGTGATTCTCCTGCCTCAGCCTCTGAGTAGCTGGGACTACAGGCATGAGCCACACACCCAGCTAATTTTTTGTATTTTTACTAGAGATGGGGTTTCGCCATGTTGGCCAGGCTGCTCTCAAACTCCTGACCTCAGGTGATCCACCTGCCTTGGCCTCCCAAAGTGCTGGGATTACAGGCGTAAGCCACCGTGCCCGACCCAATCCATCCTCCATACAGCAGCCACAGTGATCTTTTGAAAATATGTATCTAATCATGTCATTGCCTGCACAGATGCTTTGGTGAAGGAGTATCAGTGAATCCTAAAACTGACAGGTGAAAGGCTGAGAATAGAATAGTCACATGGTGACAAAGTACCCTCCTACAAATTACTAATTCAGAGGTTAAAATGTGCCTTCATAAGGGAGACATACAGTGGTTACCACTTAACCAAATGACCAGACTTAGCATCACTAACAGTAGGACATCTTGACATTATAGGCCTCCTGATCTGATAAAAGCGAAGCTCACAACATCACCTATGAAGTATTCTCACTAAAAATGCTTAACTTATGTCTAACTGTGCCTTTACTCAGTTGTGCGGAGCTTCCAATTTACAGGAAATGTATAGAGGAAAAAGTTAAATGCCTATGTAAGTAAACAATTGGATAAATCCAGAATGTGGATCATTCCACAAGACAAATGGGCTGGACTCTTCAATATGTCAATGAAAAGAAAGGCAGGGAGTACAATGTAAGAATTGTTGTACATTAACAGACTATGAAGATTTAAACAGCCAAATGTAATGCATGAATCTTGATGGAATCCTGACTTTAAAAGTTATATACATACATATTTATTTATATATACACACATATATATGCACATGACATTTTTGAAGAAATTATGAAAATTTGAATAGAAAATAAAGTTTATTGACTAATGTGATAATTTATTTCAGTAATAAGGGAACAGAGATTATGTAGAAGTGTCCTTAATCAAAGGAGGTGTGTGCTAAATTATCTAGTGGGTAGGTGTTACGATGTCTGCAACCTCCTTTTGAATGGACTTGGTCAAAAAATAAAACGATACCTATATATAGTGAGAATGATAAAGCAAATACTATAAATATGATTGTATAAGTAAAAGGTACAGGGATGTTCATTATATTTTTGAACTTTACAGTGAGCTTGTGCATTCTCAAAATAAATTGTATAGTAACAAAACATACCCTTCAATGACTTCTCATCATTCTTAGGATAAAGTCTAAAATCCTCCCATGATCCACAAGGTCCCATATGGCCTGGCCCCTGCCTACCTCTCCAGCTTTCTCTCTCTCACTCACTCTACTTCAGTGACATGGTCTTAGTTCATACATAACCTTCAAGTCTCCACTGAAATACCACCTCCTTGAGCTCTCTAGGACTGGTGTATGAAGGGATGAGTACAGCTGAGGGATACCTGAGGTGGACAGGAAAAGGGGAAATGGATTATGCAGGAATGAAGTGGGAAAGGGGGCAATTTTCAGGACTAAGAATGGAATGGGATGGAATAACTTGGAAGGAGGCAGAAACAAAGATGGACTGGCTGAACTAGAACATGGTTGAAGATACTAGTATCTTCTATTAAACCTCCATCATAAGTTTTCATGACTTTCTTTTTTTTTTTTTTTTTTTTTTTTTTGAGACGGAGTCTTGCTCTGTAGCCCGGGCTGGAGTGCAGTGGCCGGATCTCAGCTCACCGCAAGCTCCGCCTCCCGGGTTTGCGCCATTCTCCTGCCTCAGCCTCCCGAGTAGCTGGGACTACAGGCACCCGCCACCTCGCCCGGCTAGTTTTTTGTATTTTTAGTAGAGACGGGGTTTCACCGTGTTAGCCAGGATGGTCTCGATCTCCTGACCTCGTGATCCGCCCGTCTCGGCCTCCCAAAGTGCTGGGATTACAGGCTTGAGCCACCGCGCCCGGCCCAAGTTTTCATGACTTTCTATAACGCTCATTCATAATATGATTTTATTTAAATACTAAGTGTGCACTTGTGTAATGTCTAAAATCTGCGCCAAATAGTAACCTTTACGCTAATAAAGATTAGGGCAGTTTTACTTATCATATCCCCAACACAGTAAGTGCTCAATAAATGTTGGCCTAATGGGTGAATATCCCACAATAATTTGACTTCAAAGGAATACAATTTTAGTCCAAATGCTACTTAACTCAAGTAGTAAATGTCCATTAAAGTTGAGATATTAAAAATGGCTACTACATGTAGTTATCAGAGCTGATGATTTAGATGATTATTAAGGTTAATGAGCAGTTTTTCACCAGATTTATTGAATGTAATCATATTCATCTTCTCTCATCTTTAGGTATTCTTCTTTTCCCTCTGCTTTTTTTCTATCTATAAAAACTGGTATTAAGAAACAAAATATTTCACATTAATAACTTTATGTCAAGCTCTGATTGTTAACATCAGTAGGCTGCAGCATGGCTCTTAAAGCCAGGTACACAAGTTTAGAACCAAACACATCAGTAAGCCTGACCCAGAAAGCACAGCTATCGCTGTTTGCCATTTGTTAAAAGATGAAGCAGGTGAGAAAATGTAGATTGGTTAAATACAAATCCATCTTCTCTGTTAGAACCATACAAATAATAACTACTAGAAGAAAAATTCTGCTGTTAAGAATAACTGTGGCTTCCTCAATACAGACAGTGTATATTTAAAATTAATGAAGATGATTTGATATATGACAATCCATATGATCACCAACATAAAAATGTAGCTCTGTTCTATATTCAGACTCCATATAGCTAAAGGATGAGTAAATTTTGTCTAGAACTCAAGTACAGTTGAATAAATTGATAAATATAACTCTAGTTTACCTGTATGGTTGGTAAAAACACACAGAGTCAGGTGTTTGGATAATTTTTCTCGGTCTTGATGGTAATCACATCCAAAGTTGACAAGTCTAAGAACACAAAGAATGAGAACTTATTGTATGCATTTAAAAATACATCCCTTCATAAAGGATGTGAGTAACCACTAAATAATATACCCACAGAAATAGAAACACATTCCTGAGAAATTTAAGTAGATAACTTTTTTTGGTTAATAAATTATGTAGTTTTTTCAAAATACACAGTATATAAATGGCATTAGCCTAATAGTAAGGAAAAAATATTACTTTCATCTTACATTTTTATAACTTTTCTGATATAGAGTAATGCACACACTAGTTTCAAAGTAAGCAAAGCTAAATGCTCATACATGACGAAATAAAGCTAGTGAAATACTTAACAGTTCAGGATTATCATTACTCCAATTTAGAAAGATTTTCATGTCTTGTACATATTGATGGCCTTATGCTTATTTTTTCAGAAGCATCTCATGTTTCCGCCACATGTAAAATAGAGTGGAAAAAGGAAAAAACCTTGCCTTTTGTGTAAAAAGGAAAACAGAAAAAAAAAAAAACAATAAACTCAGCTGAGCTACAAGTGGATTGACCTGTGACAACCTCTTTGATGGCAATAAAAAGGGTTTCAATGTTTGATTCCCAATGTAGCTCTCTGACCCATCAAATCCTTCTATTTAATCACAGGGAGAAGGGTATATCCATATATCAAAATAAATGGAGATGCACTACAGAAATAAATGGCTAAGAAAATCAATACAATTGACTTTATATGTAAAATCCTGGGTTCATGTTTGATAAAGTTGTTTATACTTGCTATGGAGAATGGGAATACAAAAAAAGATGGACACAGTATATCAAACTCTCTTTTTATCTGCATAGCATAAAGTAGGAATAAATATAATCATTTTGCCCACAAGTATCTATAAAAATTAGTAACGACCTATGAATAACTTACTTAAATCCTGAGTTGCTTAATGATACATCCAAGGGTACTTCAAACTGTCAAAAAAAATCAGAAGAAAATGAACCCACAATGAAAGTGATGACAGTTCTGAAAACCAGAGCAAGCCCAAGTAAACCAGAAAAATATTGTGCTTGCCTAATAATGAAACGTAACCATCATTATCTTTAGAGGTTGTACTCTAAATCCATTGCATAGAAAGTCCATTGAAAATACTCTGGAGTTTACATACAATCATGAGCTTGATGTTTGTTTATTTCTTAAAGGGTTAATGCTTGACAAACTTTGTCTTAGATTTGAATATCAAAAACAGGTTGTACAATAGAACAATTGGAAGCAACCATCTTTCACAAGACATAGATAACTGAGTAAGAAAGGAAGGACTGGATGTCTTTAAAAGGAGAGTAGATGAGCCAACAGAAGCACAGGATGGGTAAGTGTAATTCTTGCAATGGCATAACAATGTGTATTAGACAGCAACACTAGTCCTACTCAAGAATAGGCCAGCACAGTGGCTCACATCTGTAATTCCAGAACCTTGGGAGGCCAACGCAAGTGGATTGCTTGAGGTCAGGAGTTCAATACCAGCCTGGCCAACATAGTAAAATCCCATCCCTACTAAAATACAAAAATTAGCTGGTCATGGTGACAGGTGCCTGTAATCCCAGGTACTAGGGAGGCTGAGACAGGATAATTGATTGAATCCAGGAGGCAGAGGTTGTAGTGAGAAGAGATCATGCCACTGCACTCCAGTCAGGGCAACAGAGTGAGACTCTGTCTAAAAAAGAAAAAAACAAAAAAACAAAACAAAACAAACAACACTGTATTGCCCATCACAAAGATATTAAAGACTCTTCACCACAATGCTAACTTTTTAAAAATCTTTTTAAAAATTTAAATTCTTAAATTTACATTTTCCTATTTTTAGAAGTTTTTTCTTTTTTTTCCATTGATGCAACAAATGCTAACGTTCCAAATAGCTTTTTCAGGGGTAATGCTAGATTTTGGTTAAACTATACCCTCTGATTGACTTGTCTCTTTATTCTCAAATCCACCATCTTCACAAGTCCTTTTGGGTCAAATAACTTGTAACCCCTTAAAGCTATGTCTTACAGACCCCAAAAATTATTAGGTTGGTGTAAAAGTAACTGCAGTTCTTGCCATTACTTTTAAATGATTAGAAACCGCAATTACTTTTGCGTCAACCTAATACCTTCTACTAATCCTCACTTACACGTGTTTCTTTGATGTGAAGCATTCAGTTAGCGGACATTTCTGGTGTGTGTTCTTCTAGTGACCTAATGAACTGGATTTGTTATGGAGTGGAAGCCTGGAGATGGCAAGAACTAATTTTACTTGCTCATACAAGTGACTAACACAAACATCAGGAATGCTAAAGCGCTGCTCATAATAACAATTCTCTTAAAAGAGGGTAATGTATCGGCGGTGGCTCACGCCTGTAATCCCAGCACTTTAGGAGGCCGAGGCAGGCGGATCACAAGGTCAGGAGATCCAGACAATCCTGGATATTACGGCGAAACCCCATCTCTACTAAAAATACAAAAAAATTAGCCAGGCGGGGTGGTGGGCGCCTGTAGTCCCAGCTACTCGGGAGGCTGAGGCGGAAGAATGGCGTGAACCCAGAAGGTGGAGCTTGCAGTGAGCCGAGATCACACCACTGCACTCCAGCCTGGGTGACAGAGCAAGACTCCATCTCAAAAAAAAAAAAAAAAAAAAAAGAGTAATGTATCATAAACTTTCCTGTAGTGTGATCATTTTCTGAACTTACCATTAAGTTATAGCTCTCATCAGCATAAAACTGGATACATTTTAAGATACTCCTTGATTTCTAAAAGAGAAAACAGAATGGCATATTTATTTAAAAACTAGGAAAAAAAGAAAAGGAAGCAGTCAAGAAGCAAACAATTATGAAAATCTTTTCATCATTATGTTTAATAAAACTTCACTGACTATTTCCATCAATGAAAATGTAGTAATTAGTGAACTGCAGTAATAATGTCAAAATCAAATTGTTCTTATAAAAAAAAAGTGCTGGGGCCAAGCACTATGGCTCATGCCTGTAATCCATGTTTTAGGAGCCTGAGGCGGGAGGATCACTTGAGCCCTGGAGTTCAAGGCTGCAGTGAGCTATGATCACACCACTGCGCTCCAGCCTCAGCAAGAGAGCAAGACCCTGTCTCTAAAAAAATTAATATTTTTGTTAAAAAAAAAAAAAAGGAGTGCCCATGAACTAGTGTTTTTACCTTCAGGTCAATGTAGTATAATCTCTGTTCTGACATATCCCACTGAGCCCAAACGAAATCCTCAGCTATTCTGTCTCTCGGGAGATGGCCAGAATTTTTAATCACCTAAAAATGAAAAAAAAAAAAAGGTATGAATAACTTTTAAAGGAGAACATATCTGGAATTCATAATTATTTTCCATGTCTATCTTTATGATACGTGTAAATATTTCCACAGTTCACTGTTAGAAGCTCCCCACCCCTAGCACACACAGTCTTTCCAGAAATGTTTTAAGACATCATTTCATTGCCTCCTCTTCTTCCCACTTATAATATATGATTGTATTATTGCTCTTAGTTTAGCAGACAGGCTGAGGCTGTTGAAGACAACACCACACCTCCCACAAATCAATAGCTGCATTAATAGAAGATTCAGAACTTACTGTTCTGTACCTAACTCTCTCAAGTCAAGCCTCTGCAGACAAGAACCCTCCACTACCAAAGACAAAGGCTGTGATGCCAAGGAAAAACTCAGGCCTGGCAGTGGAAAGTAGTAGACAATGACCCCAGTTTGGCCATAAACCAACCACGCAGCTTTGGGCATGCCTCTCACCTTTATGTCTCCCATGATAAGTACGATGATATTGCCCATCTCTCAGCAATACCTAACTACTCATTCTTCAAGGCCTGACTTACACATTGTGTCCTACACAAAGCCTTCCCTCACATCCCCAAGATGTAATATAATCCTCACCTGTTTTCCCATGGTGCACTGGCATGCTTCTATGACAATTACATTTTAATTAATGCTATAAGCCTCCCGCAATGAGTACACACTCTTCTACCAACACATCTTCTTTTTTTTTTTTTTTTTTTTTTTTTTTAGAGGCTGGAGTCTCGCACTGTCGCCGCAGGCTTCGGAGCTGGCAGTGGCCGGACCAGCTCACTGCAAGCTCCGCCTCCTGGTTTGGTCGCATTCTCACTGCCCTCAGCCTCCCGGAGTAGGCTGGGACTTACAGGCGCCCGCTCACCCTCGCCCGGAGCTATCTCGTTTTTGTATTTTTGTAAGTAGAGACTGCGGTTTCACTATGTGTTACCGCCAAAGGACTGGTCCTCGACCTCCTCGACCCTGGTGATCCCGCCTGTCCCTCGGCCTCCCCACAAATGTGCTGGGAGTTTTACAGGCTTGAAGCCACCGCGCCCGGCCTCTAAACACCACACCCTTTTCTCTATACCAAATGCACTTTCGCGATTCCGTTTCTACATGTAACCCCAGTTGCTCAAGGAATTTTTGTTTCAGTAAAGGCCCCCCGGAAAATTGGGCCCCAGGCCTACAGTGGGGGCCTCCACGTCTGTAATCCCAGCCACGTTTTGGGAAGGCCCCGAGCGTACGTGGAATCACTACGCGAAACAACACACAAAAACACCTTCGAGACCCCAGCCTGGGTTCAACATGGTGAAACCATCCTCTACTATAAACAATACCCAAATATACAACGTCTGCTACTCAGCTAATCCGCCGCGAAGGCCCTGCCAGGCCAGAAAGAAAATCACTTTGAACCCAAGAAAGATGAAGGTGTACAGTGAGCCGAGATTACACCACCTGCAATTTCCACCTGGGTGAACAGCAAGCAAGACATCGATCTCAAAAAAAGAAAAAATCCCTTTATTTTATGCCCCTTCAATGGCAACTATGCCAGCCATAAAAAGGTCAAGTTCCTCATGATCTCTGTGTAAGGGACATGGATTGTCACTGGAAACCATCACTCCCACACACACATCCGCCAGACACCACCACAACACCAAACTGCAACATGGTTTCCACCTCATACGCTCGGAAATGACAAACAATGAGCACACACACTTGCGGCACACAGCCGCACAGCGCGACACCATCCACCACACCAGTCTCGTCGTGCCCGCTCGACGCGGCAGACGCGCGCGGACCACGCACCGCATTAGGAGATTATACCTAATGGCAAATGACGAGTTAATGGGTGGCAAGCCAACCACCCCAACATGGCACATGTCATACCATCAACTGTCACTCCAAACCTGCAGCGGTGTGCACATGGTACCTCAGAACATGAAGTATAAGTATACAACAAAAAACAAGAAAAACAAAAAACAAAAGGCACCCCACAACCACCACATACCCGCGCTGCCACCACGCCACGCCTCAACACTCGCCAACACAGATATTAATCACACACACACACACACTTTGTTTACTAAGTAACAAAGTCAGAACTATGGAACTTTAAAATCAGGAGATTCTAGAAACCATCCAATTCAATCCCTTAACAGGTAAGAAAACTGAGGCTCTCAGCACTTAGATTAGGCCGCATAGTTAGTTCAGCAAGGTCTGGAATCTATGTCCTGGAACCCTCCCAGTGCCCTTTCAGTGCATCAGCTGACCTCAAAATAATTTAACAGAAGCAGTTAAGAATTAACTTTCCTCAAAATGCTTATTAAGCAAAAGTAACCTACATTGAGATAGATGAGTAAAGAATAAAGACAGGTTGGGGTAGAAGAAATGAAGAAAAAAGAAACACCAGACTGGTCCATGTTCATGCCTAAACCCTCCCTAATCCTCACAGGGATTTCTCCACCCATGGTAACTTGGAACTTGAGGGGAACCATGTGGCATAAAGAGTTGTAAATCACTATTTCCTGCTTATCCTGTCCATTACATTTAGACAAGAGGAAAGTGATGCCAGAGAAAAGATCCACGAGGACCTGTCTGTCTCTAAACTTTGGGCAATCATTTTTCTGAAATTTGTTGAGTTGGAGTAGATTTGAAAACCGTTCCAGGTAAAGGTATGTACTAACAAGAACATGAATGTCAGATTGTGGCATACCCAGGTTCAAATCTCAATTTTGTTTCTCTCTAGAGTCACCTCATCTCTGTGAGTCTTGGCTGCTGTCTTCTCTGTAAAAACAGGGATAAGCCTAATACCATCTCTATCATGTAGGGATGTTGCGAAGAATATGTGGAATTGCATATTCTTTGCAACATCCCTGCATGATAGAGATGGTCTTATACTTACGCTGTATGAAGCTGTCATCTAAGCCTTTAAAAATGAGGGCAGAAGTACTTCTTGGAAGAACACATGTGAATTAAGGAATGCTAAAGCTGTACCATCCTGAATGGCAGAATCTTTTCTGGGCTGCTGACAGGTGTCCCCTCCATCACTCTTTCCAGTATGTGTCTGTCCGCCTCTCTCTCTCTGCTCTCAAGCCCTCTTCTAACCAGTCAGTCCCCTGTCTATGCTCATTCCCAGTTCCTGACCCCAACTTGCTTATTTATTTCTCTTCTAAATTCTCATCACTGGCTTTGGGATTCGGCCTTGATCTTTCCTCCTGGGCTTGACCCTCTTCTGACCCCTGGCCCTGTCTGTCCTTGTGCTCCCATCCACTTAGCCCCTGCAGGACAATGGTAGCCCAGAGCTTCAGTGACACACTTTCTCCTGGCAATTTTCCAGCCAGGCTTCTTGATTCAAGGCTTTCAATAGCTGATACACAATTTGTAAGTGCCATTTTCTGTTTCAATTTGTTCATTTAACTTTAAAATCTTCAGAGAAACATTAAAATCTTCAGAGACAATTTTGATGCAGACTAAATATTGAAGAAAATCATTTTTAATATCAGTAACATATTAAGATCCTATATAAATTATCAAGAAAAAGCCCAGTAGAAAAATAGATAAGGATACAACTAAACAATTTTCAAAAAAGCAAATCAAATAGCCAGTACGCTGAGGAAAAGATGGTGAAATGCATCAATATTAAGGGAGATACAGACTGAGATATCAACTTAAACTCATCAAATTGGAAATTTTTTAAAAGGTAAGTATACCTTTTCGTGATATGAATTGAGGGGAAACGTACTCTTAAATTTTGCTTCAAACATTGTCAATTGTTAGAATTTTTTTGGAAAGCAACCTGGAAAAATCTGTTGGAATTTATTAAATGGATGTACCCATCAAACACTCCATCCCTGAGGATTTAGCTCAAATAAACATATGTACCAATACATAAGGCTATAGGAAAAAAAGTTTAAGATGATTTATAATTCAAAAGCAAAAACAAAAAACTGGCAATTTAGTGAATGTCTATCCATAGCAGAGACCATTATCTGCTTCTAAAGAGAATGAATTGGAGCTATTCTAGTTTACTTGTAGGTAATTCCACAAAGCTGAATAAGTAAGAAATGGATAATAAACCCCTGGGTGGGTCAGAGGTGGGGGTAGGAGATTAGTATTAGTATGGAGAAAAGTATGATACATACCAGGTTGTGAACAAAAGAGATTAAAAAAAAAAAGGTACATGTGGAAAACAAGCAAAAAAATTACACTCTATGAAACCCATATATGGTATGATATATAGTATGATTGTATATATGGTATAAATATATGGTATGATCCCATGATATGCATATATGTACATACAAAAACTAGAGTAAATAACCAATTAGTTACATCTCTATTTTAGTAACCCATAGGGATACTCCTGATCTTTTTACCTGCTAAGCAAAAGCAAACACAAAAGCAGCAGGTAAATTTATGTATTATGATTCTACTTTGGTAAAAACAATTGAATCCCCACATACAACCTTACACAGGTTTGCATGAGCAAGGTAAAAGCTGTGGAAAGATACACAGGCTGTTATCAGCTTCTTCAGGATACTGAGATTGAGGGTTGAGATAGAGAAAAATGGGATAATTAACTTCATATATATTTGTATCATTTCACACATTAGAACAGCAAGTCTATACTTCAAAAGTTATCAAATAAAGAAAACATCACATATCAATAACATTAATTTTCTTTAGCAGTCTAGTAATGTAGTTCTTTGTGGAACAAAAACTATGAGGCGAAAAGAATTTCAAATCTTTACCACTCTATTTCCATCTTCTTGGGCGACATGGATACGTAATTGCTCAATATCTTTAAAAGAAAAACAGAGAAAGATAATTTAACTTTAAGGAAACATATGAGTACTATTTTTGCCTAACACTTGTAAAAACATTGTTATAAAAGCAATGCAGATTAAACAACTGGCCATAAAAACAACATTATCACAAACTGTAATCTCACAATAGAGGTTCAAAAACTTTTTAAAACCCATTTTTCTCCATCCTCCCTTTACACTTAATTTCAAGTCCTGCATTTATTCTGCTCCTCAATATCAACAATACATGCAGCATTTAGCCCACCTGCTTCCCTGGGTTCCCTCAGCAAGTACTTGGCTCCCCTATACCATCAGTGTTGTCTAGGGCTAACAAGGGCTTACTTAGCAGAGTTTATCTCCAATTCCCAAATACCAAACAGTTGTTTGTATGAACATACCAGATAAAAAAACTCATTATACGAGACATTTTGGGGAAGCATTTTAATAGAGGTCAATTTCACTTGAACAAAACCCTGAACACTAAAGACAGTCTGTGTAGATGGTCCCTTTCTATTGGTAACAATTTGAATTCAGCCATATTTACCTTCTGCTGGTCCTAGTTACAAAACTGAACACGAGCTTAGACACTGAACAAAGCCTTACCCCTCAAGCCTGTCCTTCCAACTATAAACTAGCAGTTTCATCTTGTAATGCGAAAGACAGCTTACAAGCTCCACTAGTAAATTTTGTCCTTCCTCTCCCTCTCCTAACTTGAAATCATCATGGAAGGACATAACCTTTTATGTCCTAAACTTATTTGCCTCTACCTGAATTTGTCTAAGTTAGTAGGTCTTCTCAAGTTCTGCCATGGGATTCTTCTAGCTACCATAAACTTCCCCTCTCTCCATCCAAGCATCTCCATATTATAGTTATCCACTGTGACAGACACCCAAAAGACAGATGAACTAAAAATGACAAAAATGACCTGTTCTACAAACATTCTACCATGGGACAAAATTGCAAATCCATGTATGCAAGAGCCCATCATTCCCAGGATGAGAAAGGTGAACAGAGCCAAAGGGAACAACACTTGGGGGCCAAAGGAAAAGCCCTTCCCAAGGAATTTCAGGTCTCATATGGACATCAAAGTTCAGTGGACCCTCGGCAATGGCAGGTGGATATCTAGAAGATTCAATCACGTCCCACACTAGGAGACGATATGCCATTCATGAAATTCCCATATTCCACCTAAAGATACACTTACATTTCTCTTCTGAAATCAGTAACAGATGGTTCTCTGGAAGAGGATGACTTTCAACATGTGGGTAGAGAAACTGTAAAAAAGAAATTAATCATAATTGTAAGCAACTATCTTGCTTGAACAAGTATTTCCAAAGTTGTGCTTGATGACTGTACTATTAAAGACCATTGAAGAAACTGGGAATCACAGAAGAATTTAGGGAAATCACCTGCACACACACATTGCAGGTCAAAGCAAGCAAGAAAACAGAACACTGTCCGGACCTCAGCTTTCGAGAGGGGAATTGATCTCAAATACAACACTATCTTCACTTACTTAAACAGTAAGGCTTCTGACTGGGCACAGTGGCTCACACCTGTATCCCCAGCACTTTAGGAAGCCAAGATAGGCAGATCACTTGACCTCAGGAGTTCAAGACCAGCCTGGGCAACATGGCAAGACCCCATCTCTACAAAAAATACAAAAGATTAGCCAAGTGTGGTGGCATGTGCCTGTAGTCCCAGCCACTCAGGAGATTGAGGTGTGAGGATCACTTGAACCCAGGAGGTGGAAGTTGGAGTGAGCCAAGATCATGCCACTATACTCTAGCCTGGGTGATAAGAGAGCAAGACTCTGCTAAAAATAAAGTAAAATAAACAATAAATGTTAAAGTTGAAGCTATTTCTAGGGATGGTGCTTCCTATCTGGAATATCTGATTCTGAAACCAATCAGAAATAACGCAAACAACATTTATACAGAATGTTCTATTTCACACACACACACACACACACAACATAGTCTTTGTGCAACTAAACCTAGTATATAATTTGAGAGCCAAGTAAACATATTCCCCACGACAACTTCCAAAGTCCCACATCCGAGAGACAAAGCACAACATAACCAGAACTTGTCAAGAAAGAACAGTGAGTCATGGTGTCACACGAGTTGAGGATTTACAAGCCTGAAAGCACAGAACGACTGTCACCAGGAAGAAAAGGCTTAAGTACACCCCATTCCTCCTCCTCTGTGCTCTCCCATATGAGCCCACCACTATGTGTCTGTTTGCAGGACAAAGCAGGCTGCCAGCAACACAAGTCCTGACCCCGTCAGCTGTGATAATGAGGAAAAACTGGTCACAGGATGACTCAAAAGGGCAACTGTAAACCAGTCATTTTATTTTGCGGCATGAAAGACCCGTGAATTTTGTTCTTTTCCTCACCCAAAACTTGAAAATAATATAAAAGGGCATAACTTTTATGTCCCAATCTCTCAGTCATTAGTCAGACTAAACTTAGGACAATTTTTTGTTATTTCCTAGTGCCCTAACTTTGCATAATATCAGATTAAAAATAGTACTAGTCAATTTTTGGAACATTTATAGTTGAGTTCCCTTTTAGAAATGAAAAGCAAAACATATGCTTCAGAGCAATAAAGTCAAAATTATAAAATAGCAATGCAAAATTCAGCTACAAAAATAATACAGAACTAACTGTCTCATAATTTGGAAAATGTCTCACATCAAACAAGATACTTTGTATACCGGAGTTGAGGAAAAGCAGAGATGAATGACACCACATACAGGATAGGAGAACAAATGTTCAGTGCCTCAAAATATGGAGATATCTGCTCCTACAGAAGATGGTATTGCCTCCAGCTCTACAGAGGTGGCCAGGGCATGCCTGCTTAGGAACGTGACATGGACTGAGGTGCTGAAGAGGTGTAACTGCCAACCTCTAAACCTCTGCCTGGTTTTCCTGTGACAATCAGGGAGAATGTTATTTTTAAAGTCCCATTTAGGTAGGTGTTGTTTTTCTTTCTATTATAGGGTGTTCCTAGAGTAAGGCCTGGAAACCAAAAGCAGACAGGCTTCAGACACAGCTCTACAAAAGCACTCAAGGTGATAACATACAATTTGGGGAGGGCACAGAAGCGTGGAATTTAATCAGTGTTAGTTTTCAATATTTAAGAAAGCAACCTGAGAGCACTGCTTTATTTTTTGAAAAAAGCCAAGAACGTAAAACAATTTCTGGGCCATGTCCTAACAATTGGAAGGTCTGGATCTATCTATAAACATGCCTTTTAAATATTACTTGAAAAAGCAAGACAGTGAGTTATTATATTGAATCACATAATATACACACTACAGAAAAAATGAAAATCCAGTGTTTGGTAAATGGATGCTTGTGGCTTAGGATGAAAATCCTAGTGACAGGATCTTACAACCAAGAGGATGGATGAGTTACTTCGGGAATCAGCAGATTATATTTACTTAGGAAAATTTACCTTCACAAATAAGGAGCTAGACTTAGAATGAATATTGGTCTTTGGAGGTCTGTAGTCTAGGTGTGTAGAGGGTGTGGAATTACCCACTGGAACTATCTTGAAGACACACCTCGTGCTGAAAGGGAACACTCAAAGGGTCCCGGATTGGGATCCAAGCCCCACCTGCCACTGTCCTCCTCTGTGTAGGTGGTCAAGACTACACATGCAGAGTTAGGGAAATGTGCTACTGGAAATCACCAAGGATGTTTTTATAAGAAAAAGGAAATTGATTCCAGGGCAAGACCAACTCAATGGACAGTAGATGTCATTTCTCTAGAGGCAGGAGGGAGAAGGTGGGGATTTGCCACTGGGGTTTGGAGCAGTTTCTCTCTCCAGAGGCATAGACACAGGGGCAGGAGGCAGGGCTAGGGACTGAGATGGGTCCACAGAATGAGTACAAGTTTTACTTTATTTGGTTGGGGAACCTTTCCTTTGGCCTATAGATGCTGTCCTGTTCCACGTACTTTTAACTTTTTTGTTTTGGTTTTTTTTTTTTGAGATGGAGTTTTGCTCTGTTGCCCAGGCTGGAGTGCAATGGCACAATCTTGGCTCACTGCAACCTCCGCCTCCCAGGTTCAAGCGATTCTCCCACCTCAGCCTTCTGAGTAGATGGGATTACAGTAGTGCACCAAAATGCCTGGCTAATTTTTATATTTTTAGTAGAGATGGGGTTTCGCCATGTTGGCCAGGCTGGTCTCAAACTCCTGAGCTCTGGCAATCCGCCCTCCTTAGCCTCCCAAAGTGCTAGGATCATAGGCATGAGCCGCCGCACCCAGCCACTTTTTTTTTAAACTGAGTTCACATAACATAAAATTTACCATTTTAACCACTTTAGTATATACAATTTCTGGTAGTTTTTAATATATTTGCAAGGTATACAACCACTTGCTTTTAAAAACTTTTCCCCTTTCTATGTTCCAATTCCCTTTAGTTACCCCAATCCTTCAGTCATGTCTCCACCATCTATATGGCCCTAACAAGATGCTGAGGAAGCCAAAGAACAGACCAGAAAAGGGAAGTGTGCTCTGTCCCCCAGTCGCCCCACACTGACGACAGTGTAGACAGAGTAGCTTCCTGAGGGTAGGGGAATGCAGCTTGGGAGCTTCAGGCCAGGCCATGTCTGGAATTGAGGAGTGACCCACAGTACTGTCAGGAGTGGCTGGGAGATGTGCAGCTGAAAGGACTGGCTGACAGGGGAGAACCCTGGGCAGACAGAGACAACCCTCTCCCCTAACCCACTGGAATAGGGAGGCCCATAGGCTGGAGGCTGGTAGTAGCTTGGGGGACAGAAAGGCAGACACTTTGAGTGGTGCAGATTGACTCCAGCTAGACCAAAAGAAATGATATTTTGACCCTGTAACAAAATGTGAAATTAGGCGAAAGGAAATTATGCTGTAGCACCGCATGAACACATACAGTTGATTCAAATTATTTGTAGTAGTTATGTTCTGTAACATCACCACAAATGCTGTATACTGAATACTGAACCATTGTTTCTACGGAAAATACAAAGGGAATTGATCACAATTCTGAAAGACACAGTCCCAAATGCCATATCCTAAATATTGAAATCCCAAAAGATCAAAATCCCAAAAATATAATTCTGGAAGATAATCATTTTAAAAATTATTTAAAAGATGTACTGATGGCCAGGCGCGGTGGCTCACGCCTGTAATCCCAGCACTTTCGGAGGCCGAGACGGGCGGATCACGAGGTCAGGAGATTGAGATCATCCTGGCTAACACTGCAAAACCCCGTCTCTACTAAAAATACAAAAATTAGCCGGGCACGGTGGCAGGCACCTGTAGCCCCAGCTACACAGGAGGCTGAGACAGGAGAATGGCGTGAACCTGGGAGGTGGAGCTTGCAGTGAGTGGAGATCGTGCCACTGCACTCCAGCCTGGGAGACAGAGCAAGACTCTGTCTCAAAAAAAAAAAAAAAAAAAAAGATGTACTGACTTTTTTAAAAGAAGAATTATCTGAGAAGCAAAACACAAAAGAACACTTCATAGTCCACTGTATACAATAAAATAGGCAATAATAACATACACAGTTTTGAAGGTATAGACACTCGTGTATCCTAACTATCCTGTGATCATGACTTTTGGGACTTTAGACATCAGGGATTTTCACCTTTCAGGATTTCAACATTTAGGATTATGTTGTTCAGGATTGTCTTTTGGGATTATGATCCAAACCCAAACAAGGATAAATTCTTGGAAGCCTCTAGTCACAATATGTTTGTCCATAGATCAGTATATAACTTTGTTTTGTGTGTTTCTATTTAAAGACACTCCTTAACCTCATGGCCAACAGCACAGTAACTCATGCCTGAATGAAGCTTATCTGAAACACATATTTTCTCCCTAAGGCATCTGACAGTCTTCTTGCACTTAGGAACACTAGACAGTGCCTCAGCACTATGCCTGGAAGCCGTTTAAACAGTGAAATCGCCAGGAAAAAGCACAAAAGATGGAACTAGGCCATGAAAACAACCGTCATTTTAGTATGAAAGCTAAAACAAAAAAGGCAGGGCATCGCCATGTTCAACCTCAATTGCGAATGTGCATGTTGGGTGACAAATTCTTTCACCATTCAGCATATATCTGCAAATAACTGGCCAAGTACTATGAGTGTTTAATTTAGGCATTCCAAATAAATTTTTGGAATAGTAGAATTTGCAAATATGGAATCTCCAAATAATGAGGACTGACTATATCTATGCCATCTACACTATACATGCAGTTTCTGCATCAACTCATGAAGTTGATAAATTCAGGGATTAAGCCATTTAATCATAGATATTTAATCTGTCAACCATGTAAATACATTACACAGACCATTTTAAAGCTTCCCTTAAATGTGTTTAATAATTTATAATATTTGATATTTTACCATGAGAAAATATTAATTATATTTAATATTTGATATTTTATAATGAGAAAATATTCAATATTTGATATTTTATCATGAGAAAATATTACATTACTAAGAAACAAATGATAGTATGACAGAGTTGGTGGAGCTAGCTTCGAGTTCTTAATTTTCATGCTTGCAAAGAAAGAGCGGATACTTCCAGCCACAGTAGTCTTTACAAGACTGTTCTGAGGAGTAAATATGATAATGATAGAGTGAAAGTACTTTGTAAACCCCAATTCTTCCAGGCTGCATACCTTTTGATTAATGAGGTAAGTGATGAATAGCATGCTTACTTACCTGAACCCAAATATAGCTATCCACAGCCTTCAGAACCTTCACATTGTTAACAGGGTGGATTTCAACCAACAAAGTCAAGCACTTTGATCCTACAGAGAAAAGAAGGCTTTTAGTAACAAAGATTATAATATCACACATTATTTTTTCCAAAGCAAGAAGGAAGAGCAATTTCTGATAAATCCTACTACAGTGACTATAAACTATTAAACCATTCTATCATCCTAAAGTCCTGTGAGGAGACTGAAACTGTACACCTGTTCCCAGTTTTACTCTCTAGGATGTGTGGTAGCTCCAGGACCCCAAAAGAGCAATCAGCCCAGCAAAGGACCTGCCTTCCACATCCTCAGGAGCCCTGAAGAAGCTGCTTTTTATTATGAAAACCACGGGATACTCAAGAAATGCAAATGTGAAAAGGGAAGTCTTTGAACAGCCCTGGAAACAACAGTAGATACAAGGGAGACAAATTTCAGGTTATAAGAATTTTGCATTTACAGAAAAGTATCACAATTAAAACACAAGCAGCCTCTGAAATCAAAGATCACTGTATATTACTTTGCACTCTCACCAGCAACGTGTAAAAGGGCCTAACAAACAGGTTTCTAATGGATATCATTTTTCCCAATTATCACAATTCTATGATTTGCAAAAGCAGACATATCTGAACTTTCCAAAAATATAAATATGTTAACTATTGTATTAACTATTCTACCAGGGGAAAATAAAAGGTAATTTTCTTAAAGTTTGACTTTAAAGTTTGACACTTCTACAAATCCAAGAGGGACACAGAAAAGATCTCAAGGGAGAAATCAATATACACGGAGTGAAGAAGTTGTTTGCGCTCATTCCATGCCATTTTTAGCATAGCTCCACAAGCCCTCTAGGCTTTTAAGTCTAAATAAACACAGTGTGATTCTGTGTCACTCCAATTCGGCAGCACAATGGCAAATATTGTTTGTGTAGGAAAATAAAATGATTTCTGATACATGAACATGTTAAGGCCGACAGTATGTATCAGTAGGACATAGGCTGGGTTTCCCTCGGGGACAGTGGTACAGCACTGATAATGACCCACTTATTTCTTCACTGTCACATCTAGCAAATGCCATAAAAGACAGCAATCAGGAGGAAGTCCATGGACACAGGCTTCCCTGCATGGAGTTACCAAAGATATCTAAATTTAGGTCAAGGTTCTCCCTCCCCCAAGATTAATCTGTAGAAAAGAAGGACTGGCCTTATATTTGAGCTTTTATTGAGATTCTAATATGATCCAATGTCTCTCAGTGACTTCACTGTGAAAAATAACATACAATTTGGGGAGGGCACAGAAGCGTGGAATTTAATCAGTGTTAGTTTTCAATATTTAAGAAAGCAACCTGATAGCACTGCTTTATTTTTTGAAAAAAACCAAGAATGTAAAACAATTTCTGGGCTATGTCCTAACAATTGGAAGGTCTGGATCTATCTATAAACATGCCTTTTAAATATTACTTGAAAAAGCAAGACAGTGAGTTATTATATTGAATCACATAATATACACACTACAGAACAAATGAAAATCCAGTGTTTGGTAAATGGATGCTTGTGGCTTAGGATGAAAATCCTAGTGACAGGATCTTACAACCAAGGGTATGGATGAGTTACTTTGGGAATCTGCTTGATGACTCAAAAAATGGCTCCAGGAATAAGAAAGACATTGGTGTCAAAGATATTTGTGAAGAAAAATAGAATAGAAATGCTCTGTTGAGCGGTGAGTATGAGGGGGGGAAAATGAATTTCTCTTATTGTTATTTTAAATGTATATGACTAAATTAGCATATTAAATAGTACAAGCTGACATTTTTTGACCTAAAA